ACAAACCAAAAGCCTCTTCAACAAATCCTTCAAATTCTGGCGCCAGGCCAAAAGTCGTGCCAAGACGTCCTCTTTGGGGCTTTAAGTGCACCTACTGCCTGAGGTGCATTGAGTACAATGCGCCTGCGCGCCAGAGGCTGGGCCTTGTATCTGCTGGTTTTCACTTCGGCGAGACTCTGCGGGGCTTTCGGCGTATGCGTGCTGCGCAACGTGTTTGGGGCTTGGCTCTTGGTGTTTTGACACACCAGGCTAGCAAGCAAGTGTGCAAAGTCCAAAATTAGAGCTTTAAATTTACTCTGGCCACGACAAAAACGAAACGGAACCTTGCTGCATATTCTTCAAGGGAAGTCAGAGGAGCGTCTGCATGTGTCTTATTCAGGACTGTTCGCGTCATGAGACATGAGCCTCTTGCATCTCCGTCAGGGCATGCGGTCAGATCAACTTGTGGCAGACACCCAATGATGCCCGGAGCTTGGGAGGTGGAGGTTTAGGGTTTAGGGTTTAGGGTTTAGGGTTTAGGGTTTAGGGTTTAGGGTTTAGGGTTGCAGGGTTGCCGGGACAGAGGCCATGCTCCCCTGAGCTTTCGCATGCTGGAATTTTCGCGGGTTGGCCCCTAAACCCTAAACCCTAAACCCTAAACCCTAAACCCTAAACCCTAAACCTCTGCAGCTGACTGATGCTACTGAGATCCTGGCTCTCCGCCGCGGCTCCGTTCAGGAGATGGAAGATCGCTTCGAATCGACCCCTTCCGACTCTGCCCTAACAAGTAATATGGGGGGTTTAGGGTTTAGGGTTTAGGGTTTAGGGTTTAGGGGTCGGAAGAACTAGAAATGATATTCCCTTAATGGCCCTTCTATTCTTACACCATAGCAACCCCCCCGCAAACCCTATCCTCACTAATCGGCCCTTCTTTTAGACCAAACCCTATGAAACCCTAAACCCAGACCCTTGACAGAACCCCCCTCCCAGCAAAGAAGCCCTAATCCAATTAAGGGCCCCTATAGCATAATTAGGGTTAAGGGTTTAGGGTTCCAGGGTCCCTAGACCCTAAACCCTAAACCCTAAACCCTAAACCCTAAACCCTAAACCCTGAACCACAAACATACAGCAGAGCACTGCCAGGACCATGCAGTGCTCTTATGCTGCGCGCTGCAGGGCCTGAAGAAAGACGCCTGGGTCTGCGTAGGCGCCCGGCTCATTGCAGTGGCGCGCGCAGTCGAAGGGTTTAAGGGCACTTCATGGAGTTTGCTTGAAGTCCCCAAGGTTGTCGGCTAGGGTTTAGGGTTGAGGGTTTAGGGTTTGTAAGGTGTTCAGTAAGCCCTGCGACCGCATTGGGAAGTCGGAGAATTTGTCTTGACATCTGGAGATCTTGCCCTCTCAGGTGGCCTCGAATAGTGCGAGGGTTCATATGGGTGGTTGTCAAAATGATGGTCCCTTTTTGGATCACTATTATACTAGGGCACCTAATATTTAGGGTACCCTAAAGGGGATCATAATTTTGACAGCCACCCATATGGTGAGTTCTCAAAAAGTATGGTCCCTTTTGGGGTGCCCTAACGAAGAGGGGCCGCCTGATAGTAAAGATCCCCAAAAAGGGGCCCTATTCTAGTATCAAGTTTTTAGGGTTTAGGGCTCTTCTTTGGGCCACTTGAATCCGGACCTATAGCGCCCAAAGACACTGAATCCCTAAACCACCTCTGGGTTTAGGGTTTAGGGTTTAGGGTTTAGGGTTTAGGGTTTAGGTTTTAGGTTTTAGGGTTTAGGGTTTAGGGTTTAGGGTTTAGGGTCATGTTTAGGGTTTAGGGTTTAGGGTTTAGGGTTTAGGGGGAAGTTGATGGAGCCGCCCCCCCAAAAATCTCGGAAGCTTGACTGCAACTGCCAGGCAGCGTGGAAGGGGGTGCCGAGCACACTTGGGTGATGACCCGCGAGGCGAACAAAGGGCAGTTGGCCTTGCGGAGACAAAATGGACCCCAAGAACGGGGGTCATAATCCCCTATACTCCTTTTATTCCCATTAAGGTTTATGCACCCAAGAACTGGGGCCATGTACCCCCTCTACTTCGGTAGTTCCTATTGTAAGGTGTCTGAACCAGAAACCCATTTAGAGTTCATTGGGTCCCGGGTATCCTGGAACCAGCCCGTTGGTAGGGATACTACCGCCCCCCGGACGACAACTTACACCTTACATCTGTACGTAGCACCAAGTTCCCCATTATCGGTCTGGATTACTCCGGATAGCAGGCAATTTTTCTTATAACGAAATCTGGATTTCGGGACTGCTTGCGCAAATTTTCCTACAGCGAGATCTGGATTTCGCAACTACTTGCCCTGGCCATCTCGCGGGCAAATTTCTCCAAAACGGTATAACAGTTCTACCACTACTAGCAAGGGTTTAGGGTTTAGTGCTCATAAACGAGTGTAGGGCTTAGGGTTTAGTTGTAGGGTGCTCGGTATAGATTACACTTAAGTTTGCTGACATCTGATTCGCTATGCAACGCGCACTCACAGCGTGTAATCAATCCCCTGACCGAGGGCTACGGCACCGTCACCTTCTGGGAGGTTACTACCGGGGCCAAGTACCACCTCGCCCAGCGATGGCTTCCACCTCAGCTTGAACTCTAAACCCTAAACCCTCAACCCTAAACCCTAAACCCTAAACCCTAAACCCTCAGATTGGGTTGTCGTGCATCAGCCCGAAAGTCTGAGGGTGCAAGCCAGCAATTCTGGCTACCCGTATGGTGGCCTAAACTCCCTAAACTCCCTAAATCCGAGCGGATCTTTACCCCAGAGGGTTTAGGGTTTAGGTTTTTCACGCTTTGGGTTCAACAAAAAAAGGGTTAAGGTTGTGATCATGCAAGAGCTGGATGCATGCTGCAGTCGGTGGTTTACACCCTAGAAGCTCTAAGTTCGCCAGCAAGCATGGCCTGAAGCTGTGATGGCTTTTGTCAGACCCTTTGCCTACATAAAGGGCTTCAGCAACGAAACTCGGTCCACAATTCAACTGCCCCCCCGCCGAAACCCTAACCCATAACCCCTAAACCCTAGACCCGAAACCACCCTAAACCCTAAACCCTAAACCCCAAACCCTAAACCCTAAACCTAAACCCGAAACCCGAAAGCCGAAACCCAACAACAATACAGCGATGGGGCAATACCGAGCCTTTCTCAAGACAACAAAAACGCCGAGGGGGCGGGCAGCGGGCAGAAGGTTTTTGGAGGTGAACCTTGGGTACCCGCATGAACCCCAATCGAGGGTTTAGGGATTCATGTGCTTTCATGGGGATTGTAGTAGTCGTATTTAGTAGTGGAGTAGTGGAGTAGTGGAGTAGTGGAGTAGTGGAGTAGTGGAGTAGTGGAGTAGTAGTAGTAGTAGTAGTAGTAGTAGTAGTAGTAGTAGTAGTAGTAGTAGTAGTAGTAGTAGTAGTAGTAGTAGTAGTAGTAGTAGTAGTAGTAGTAGTGGTGGTGGTGGTGGTACTGTTGATGGACGAAATCCTGCATGACTTTTATTACGCAGGTCATCCCTTCCAAACCCTGAATCTTAACATTGTTGTCCTTACAATGCCTCGAAACGGCACATGCGCGAATGACCGAAATCCTGCATCATCCACATGTGCACGCAACATTGAAATTTGAGGGGTGCGGGGAGCTCGATTACCAACCGTCGCACACGTGTAACGTAGGGGGTCATGCAGGATTTTGTCCATCCACCGTCTCAGACAAGATAATTTGCTGACTTGTGGCTGCGTGGCCGCCTTGGCCGGAGTTTCAATCATGAGAAGCGAGGCGTGTTAGGTTAGGACAGTGACGGCTAGCTCGATCTCGAGTCGCTAGGAAAACATCGACGGTGTGTTTCCTTCTCCGTCTCGGAATGCTACAGTGTTTTCCCTGAGGACACTACACTACTAGGGAGGGTGTTTGCTAGCTCGACCTCTCGTCGCGTGGAAAACATCGAAGGCGTGTTTCCGAGTGTTTTCCCTAACGACTCACAACACTACTAGTGCGAGCTGTACAGAACATGTCTTGGGAGTGAGCTGCTGTGTTAGACGTGTTTGGAGAGTTGTGAAGTTGCTGCGCTATGTCTTGTCAGCAGCATGTGCGTGCAGGAATTGCAGTGCTCTGTCTTGACAGCAACATGTACATGCAGTCAGCTGCGCTACGTACGCTGTGCGCATGTTCCATGTTCGGGGGAAAGGGCAAACTGGTGTCTTGTCAGCAGCATGTGCGTGCAGGAATGTGCGCATGTTCCATGTTCGGGGGAAAGGGCAAACTGGTGTCTTGTCAGCAGCATGTGCGTGCAGGAATTGCAGTGCTCTGTCTTGACAGCAACATGTACATGCAGTCAGCTGTGCTACGTACGCTGTGCGCATGTTCCATGTTCGGGGGAAAGGGCAAACTGGTGTCTTGTCAGCAGCATGTGCGTGCAGGAATTGCAGTGCTCTGTCTTGACAGCAACATGTACATGCAGTCAGCTGTGCTACGTACGCTGTGCGCATGTTCCATGTTCGGGGGAAAGGGCAAACTGGTGTCTTGTCAGCAGCATGTGCGTGCAGGAATTCCAGTGCTCTGTCTTGACAGCAACATGTACATGCAGTCAGCTGTGCTACGTACGCTGTGCGCATGTTCCATGTTCGGGGGAAAGGGCAAACTGGCAGATGTCTTGTCAGCAGCATGTGCGTGCAGGAATTCCAGTGCTCTGTCTTGACAGCAACATGTACATGCAGTCAGCTTACGTACGCTGTGCGCATGTTCCATGTGCGGGGGAAAGGGCAAACTGGCAGATGTCTTGTCAGCAGCATGTGCGTGCAGGAATTCCAGTGCTCTGTCTTGACAGCAACATGTACATGCAGTTAGCTGTGCTACGTACGCTGTGCGCATGTTCCATGTGCGGGGGAAAGGGCAAAATGGCAGATCACGCGCTGACTTGTTGGCTGCATGGCTGCGCGCGCCGCAGCTTCTAGCTCTCGTCTCGCAGCTTGACCTTCAGTGTCTGTCAGCGTCGCCATGCCGGAGGCTGGTTGGACCAAGATGTCCGAGAATGAACGCGGCCTGGCCAAGAAGTGGTACTCTCAGGGCAAGAAGCCGTCAGAGATCGGCGAGTTGCTCGGAAGGGACACGTCATCAGTGACCCGCTTGCTCTGTCTTCAGAAGCCTGTCTTGAAGCAAGGCCGCCCTTGCTCTCTAACCATGGCGCAAGTCGACTTCCTCGAGAAGAAGCTGGACGACATGATCGTGAAGGCCAATGGGCAGCGCACTGTTACCGTCCAGGACCTGAAGAAGACAACAAAGACCAAGGCTTCGTGCCGCAGCATTCTCAGGGCTCTGCACGATCGCAACATCTACTTCCGCAAGCTGCGGGAAAAGCCTCTGCTCACCCCCGAGGATGTCCGAGCACGCTTTCACTTCGCCAAGAAGTATCGCAGCAAGAGCAGGGCCTGGTGGGTCAAGAACGTTGATGCCTTCATTGATGGAAAGCACTTCCAGGTGTCACAACACCGGGGCCAAAGGGGTTCTCCTGCAGGTGGGCGTCGGGAAAGGTAAGGCTGTCACCGTGCACGAGGTCACCGATGGCCGCTGGAGTGGCCAGGCTGCCGCCAGCTTCTACCACACTTTGGCGCGTGACTTGAAGAAAGCTTCGCCCGCCAAACGCCGCTTCACGATCTTGGAGGACAACGACCCTACTGGGTACAAGTCGGCCAAGGGCATTGCTGCCAAGTGCGACGCAGGTTTACTTGTCTTCGAGATCCCAAAGCGCAGCCCTGACTTGTCGGTGTTGGATTATGCCATCTGGACCGAGATCAACAAGCGGCTGCGCCGGCAAGAGAGCAAGTGGACAAAGGGTAAGAAAGAAACGCGGGCTGCCTACATCAAGCGCTTGAAGCTCACGGCCCGCTCCTTGCCCAAGGATTTCATCCTCAACAGCATTGGCGACATGGCTCGGCGCTGCCAGAGGCTTTACGAGGCGAAGGGCTACTTCTTCGAGGAGGGCGGTTCTGACCCATGATGAGGCTGTTCTCACGCGGTCCTTTCACCTTCACCATTTGAAAGCATTTGAAGACAGTGCGCGTGAAAATCGGCCCAGCAGTAGAGCGCCGTGCTGCATGCGTTCGGTAGCAGCAGGCCTCATGCCTAGGGAGAGGGGCGTGGAGGGTGCGTTGAGTTGGCTGGCTGCTCGACTGCATTGGCTGGTTGCTCCACTAAGTCAGCTTGCGCCAGAAGCAGAAATGCAGCGTTTTCCAAGTTTCAAATTCAGTCGAAGCAGAAAATGCTGCGTTTTTCAAGTTTCAAATTCATTTCCATACTTTCAAATTAGTTTCAAAATAGTTTCAAAATCCAGTTGCAAAATCGCTGTTAATGGGGAATTACATTTTTCTACGCGCGTTTCTAAAAAATTAGGAATTCTCAGAGATTCCTCTTTTTCAAAAAACGCGCGCTGAAATTGCAGTTCCCCCTTAACAGCGAATTTGCAACTGGATTTTGAAACTAATTTGAAACTAATTTGAAACTATGGAAACGAATTTGAAACTTGAAAAACACGACATTTCTGCACCCGTCCTGGCCCCTTCATACAGGGCCCTCACACAGACTCCAGAGGTTGCGAGAGCTTGCAGTCTCCAAAGTGAGGTCCAAGGACCCCAGTGCTTGACAATGCCTGTCTGCAGTTCGGCCGTTCTGCTCCAGCCTGAGCCCACCGGTGCCATGGCAGCCTCGGACTCGAGCTCGTCGTCCTCTGAGGACGAGGCAGCAGCTGAGCCGCCGCCTGCAAGACCAGAGTGGTTGACGGAGGAAGATGACAATGCTCGCAGTATGGTGTACTTGGTGACGTTTGCAGCTGTGCTTGAAGCAACAGCCCTGCAGGCAGAGACACCGCTGAAGAGCCTGGAAGGGCTGGAGCGTGCAGACATTCGGGACGCAGTGCTCGACGCGGTGCAGCATCCTGCTGAGGACACCAACCGGCGTGGCAGAGGTCGTCCTCGGACGCAAGCGCTTGAGGCTGTGAAGCTTGTGGTGTTTTTGGAGGAGCCAAGACACTTCCATGTGGCGCTCAAGCTGACTTGCCTCAGCCGCTTCTTGCCGTTGAAGGCGGCCCTGCGACGCCGTTCTGGTCTAGCGTCTCACTGGAGCACATCCCACACACAATGGTGGAGCGTGGTGCGCTACGGCGTCTTTACGACTGACCACAAGCAGGCCGTTGACCTCACTCCCTTGGTCTGGCTGAAGGCAGCAGGTGCACTGGAGGGCGTGCAAGTTGGCCATGGGCCATGCCATGAGTACGTAGTGCCAGGCAGCAGCAACATCGTCCTGAACCTTTATGAGGAGGCGCAAGAGCCCTTCAATGCCAGCGCTTGGGTGAAGCGGCGCCAGAAGGCAGAGGTCCTGGCCAGCGCCCCTGGTCCAGGTAACAAGAAGAAGGCCAAGGTGGAGAAGTTCACCCCTCTAGACTTCACTGCCATGGTCCTCGAGAAGAACCTCTTGACGCCCAACGCCGTCCTCGCGTATGTGCAGGACCATGGGTCGCACGCGTGCCAGCTCTACTGCATGCGAAATCAGAAGCGCCTCCCTGACCTCATTGAGGGCGCGCTGCAGTGGCGGGACGCGAAGAAGCTGCATGCTGTAGAGCAAGAGACAGACTGGGACCTGCTACAGCGTCTGGCAGGTACTAGCTGCGCTTGCTCTGGACCGTGCTTGTGGTGGATGGCAATGTCCGATTTCTTTCGCAGGAATCAGGCGACAGTGGATGGGGAGCTATTGGCTGCTGCCTTGGCTCAGGTCATATGCCACGGCCCAAGCAAGACTCGCCGGGTGCCCCTTATAGCAGGGGTCACCAATGCCGGCAAGAGCTTGGTGCTGGACCCTCTGGTCAACGTCTTTGGTCGCAAGGCTGTGGACTTCTGTCCGGCGCAAGGTGCCAGTATGGCGCTGAGCTCCTTAGCAACTAGCAAGGGCGTGCGCTTCATTTATTGGGACGAGTTCAGCCCAACAGAGTTCGCGTCGCGGCCTCCACGCTCGCCCACAGTGTCTGCAGTCACCTTCAAGAAGCTTTTTGCTGGTCAGGTGTTGCGGGTTCAAGTCTCCCAGGCTCACCATGACGGCAATCCTGACTTCCGATGGACCCGTGGAGCGGCCTTGACTGCCCCACTGGATGGTCTCTGGGAAGTCACGCAACCTGTGACGCGCGAGGATGTCAAGCACATGCAGTCACGGGTTATCCAATTTGATGCGCATGTCGCTGTGGCTGGGCCCTTGCAGCCAATACCTCACTGCGCCGCAAGTTGGTGCAGGTTTATCGTGCAGGGCTCTGCGGCGTATGCGTCCAGGCTGTCGAGGGGTGTCGCTGCAGAGCCGGCGCCGGGACTCCCCATTGAGGATGATGATCTGTAACTGCCTAGTTTACGCTAATGACTGAATTCAATTTGCTTATGACCAGATCGAAGGCCAGGCATGCTTGCTCTGAAGAGCTGCAAGCTGGTCGCACGCCAACTTATCTCAGGAAAACGTATGTTGTTCCGCTGGTTGGCGCTGAATCTCTTGACTATTGGCCCCCAACAGCCCAGTCATATAGAACGGCAGAGCAACGACAACTACTCGTACTCTCAGACAAGATAATTTGCTGACTTGTGGCTGCGTGGCCGCCTTGGCCGGAGTTTCAATCATGAGAAGCGAGGCGTGTTAGGTTAGGACAGTGACGGCTAGCTCGATCTCGAGTCGCTAGGAAAACATCGACGGTGTGTTTCCTTCTCCGTCTCGGAATGCTACAGTGTTTTCCCTGAGGACACTACACTACTAGGGAGGGTGTTTGCTAGCTCGACCTCTCGTCGCGTGGAAAACATCGAAGGCGTGTTTCCGAGTGTTTTCCCTAACGACTCACAACACTACTAGTGCGAGCTGTACAGAACATGTCTTGGGAGTGAGCTGCTGTGTTAGACGTGTTTGGAGAGTTGTGAAGTTGCTGCGCTATGTCTTGTCAGCAGCATGTGCGTGCAGGAATTGCAGTGCTCTGTCTTGACAGCAACATGTACATGCAGTCAGCTGCGCTACGTACGCTGTGCGCATGTTCCATGTTCGGGGGAAAGGGCAAACTGGTGTCTTGTCAGCAGCATGTGCGTGCAGGAATGTGCGCATGTTCCATGTTCGGGGGAAAGGGCAAACTGGTGTCTTGTCAGCAGCATGTGCGTGCAGGAATTGCAGTGCTCTGTCTTGACAGCAACATGTACATGCAGTCAGCTGTGCTACGTACGCTGTGCGCATGTTCCATGTTCGGGGGAAAGGGCAAACTGGTGTCTTGTCAGCAGCATGTGCGTGCAGGAATTGCAGTGCTCTGTCTTGACAGCAACATGTACATGCAGTCAGCTGTGCTACGTACGCTGTGCGCATGTTCCATGTTCGGGGGAAAGGGCAAACTGGTGTCTTGTCAGCAGCATGTGCGTGCAGGAATTCCAGTGCTCTGTCTTGACAGCAACATGTACATGCAGTCAGCTGTGCTACGTACGCTGTGCGCATGTTCCATGTTCGGGGGAAAGGGCAAACTGGCAGATGTCTTGTCAGCAGCATGTGCGTGCAGGAATTCCAGTGCTCTGTCTTGACAGCAACATGTACATGCAGTCAGCTTACGTACGCTGTGCGCATGTTCCATGTGCGGGGGAAAGGGCAAACTGGCAGATGTCTTGTCAGCAGCATGTGCGTGCAGGAATTCCAGTGCTCTGTCTTGACAGCAACATGTACATGCAGTTAGCTGTGCTACGTACGCTGTGCGCATGTTCCATGTGCGGGGGAAAGGGCAAAATGGCAGATCACGCGCTGACTTGTTGGCTGCATGGCTGCGCGCGCCGCAGCTTCTAGCTCTCGTCTCGCAGCTTGACCTTCAGTGTCTGTCAGCGTCGCCATGCCGGAGGCTGGTTGGACCAAGATGTCCGAGAATGAACGCGGCCTGGCCAAGAAGTGGTACTCTCAGGGCAAGAAGCCGTCAGAGATCGGCGAGTTGCTCGGAAGGGACACGTCATCAGTGACCCGCTTGCTCTGTCTTCAGAAGCCTGTCTTGAAGCAAGGCCGCCCTTGCTCTCTAACCATGGCGCAAGTCGACTTCCTCGAGAAGAAGCTGGACGACATGATCGTGAAGGCCAATGGGCAGCGCACTGTTACCGTCCAGGACCTGAAGAAGACAACAAAGACCAAGGCTTCGTGCCGCAGCATTCTCAGGGCTCTGCACGATCGCAACATCTACTTCCGCAAGCTGCGGGAAAAGCCTCTGCTCACCCCCGAGGATGTCCGAGCACGCTTTCACTTCGCCAAGAAGTATCGCAGCAAGAGCAGGGCCTGGTGGGTCAAGAACGTTGATGCCTTCATTGATGGAAAGCACTTCCAGGTCTACCTGAATGGGAAGGAGCGCTGCCGGGCAGCGCAGCATGCCACATACGGCGCCTATCGCCGCCCTGGCAAGGGCTTATGTGGTGGGTATGTGAAGCCAAAGGCTGGCAACTTGCGTCACAACACCGGGGCCAAAGGGGTTCTCCTGCAGGTGGGCGTCGGGAAAGGTAAGGCTGTCACCGTGCACGAGGTCACCGATGGCCGCTGGAGTGGCCAGGCTGCCGCCAGCTTCTACCACACTTTGGCGCGTGACTTGAAGAAAGCTTCGCCCGCCAAACGCCGCTTCACGATCTTGGAGGACAACGACCCTACTGGGTACAAGTCGGCCAAGGGCATTGCTGCCAAGTGCGACGCAGGTTTACTTGTCTTCGAGATCCCAAAGCGCAGCCCTGACTTGTCGGTGTTGGATTATGCCATCTGGACCGAGATCAACAAGCGGCTGCGCCGGCAAGAGAGCAAGTGGACAAAGGGTAAGAAAGAAACGCGGGCTGCCTACATCAAGCGCTTGAAGCTCACGGCCCGCTCCTTGCCCAAGGATTTCATCCTCAACAGCATTGGCGACATGGCTCGGCGCTGCCAGAGGCTTTACGAGGCGAAGGGCTACTTCTTCGAGGAGGGCGGTTCTGACCCATGATGAGG